TTTTACTTCTAGGGAGATTCCAACACGTTTCGAAACGTCAGATCTGAATTCCAAGAGAAGTTTGATTATTAGTAAGAACAATAAGAGAAAGAGGTGTCTTATCGTAAGCTAGAAGAGAGAGCTGAAATCGATAACGACCGAGATATCGCAATTGTCCAGAGAGAGTGAAAGAGAAAAGATAAGAGAGAAAAGAACAAAAAGAGAGCAAGATGAGTGAATATGAAGAGAGAACTCCACGATTCCAATTCAGTGGAGAACCTGAAGACTACGATACCTTTGGATTGAAGTACGTAGCAAGAGCTAGCATCAAAAGATTCGATGGAGTGATCACTGGAGAAGTGACTCTACGAACCAAACCAGAGATGGATGCTGAAACTGACGCAGCAAAGATTAAGGAAGACGAGGAGATCAGCGAGATGAACATCAAAGCCTTCAGTGACTTGATGATCAGCATGAATACTGACACGGCAGAAGGAAAGGTTGCTTTCAATTTGGTAGCCGGAAGCAGAGACAAAGTCAACTACCCAAAAGGAAACGCGAAAGAAGCATGGGACAAGTTGAAGGATGAGTATGAGCCAAAGACGATCACCTCGTACATCAAGATGAAGAGCAAGCTAAACAAGTGTCACCTTGAGAAGTTTGCTAATCCAGCTTCGTGGATCACCGAACTCAGCAAGATTTGTGTCCGTTTGGAAGAGATGAAGCACCCAGTAAGTGAAGAGGACCAATTCATTCACATCATTGGAAGTTTGCCTTTGAAGTACAGACAAGAGCAAAAGGACTTCGAGAAAATGATGAAAGCGAACACACTCACCATTAAGTACATCAAGGAAGAACTGAATTCTGCACACGAGGACTTCGCCAATGCAACAGAAGGTGATGACGACGACGAAGACAAAGAAGACAAAGATGTCGCTTTGGTAACTGGTCAATTCAAAGGCAACTGCAACAACTGTGGAAAATATGGACACAAGAAGCTAACTTGCCCTGAACTAACACAAGCGACACGACAAGGAGGCGAAAGGAACCAGAACAACGGTGGCAGAAATCGATACAATGGAGGTGGACGAGGAGCTTTCCTTGGAACCTGTTTCCACTGTGGTATCAGAGGCCACAAGAAGCATGAATGCAGAAGAAACCCAGAGAACCGAAACAACGGCACCACTGGCAACAATGGTAACAACAACAACAGCAATAACAACGATGATGATGACGACGATGTTGCTGAGGTAATGCTGATGGCAACAGAGACACTTATTGCCCCAGCGGAGCCAACACAGAAAAAGAACGTTTGGTTCGAGTGGAATGAAGAATGCGAAGAGAGTGATTGTGAAGATGAAGGAGTAGATGATGAAGTGATCGTGCATACTATCGTGGAAGATCCAAACGACAAAGTTCACGAGCACGGAAATTTCCTTCACGATGATTTCTTTGATAATTTTATGGCGAACTTCGGACAAAATGATTGCGACGCGAAAAACGACGAGACATTCCACGCGACAAAGCCTACAAGTGAATACGCTTTTGTCACAGAAGAGATTGAGATCAAACGCTATTCTGATGTTGACGGATCTGGTACATACGATTCAGATGGGGACGAGATCCCACAACTAGTGGAACGGACGATGAAAGCTAAGCACTACGCATCAGACGAATGGGACCATAATAACGGAATGCACGAATACAACTCAGACTCAGACGACTCTGACGATGATGACATTCCACCACCGTTGGTCAGCAGACATGGTGTTGTCCATGGACATGATGAGGTATCATTGATTGGCAGACACGACAACATCTCTGATGACGACTCGATATATGACGAGATCCCACACTTGATCGCACGACAACAACATGATAGCGATGATGATGATAGCGATGATGACGATAGTGATGATGACGATAGCGATGATGACGATGACGATGACGACTTGATTCATACCGACGATGAGCCATACTACTATGACGGTGATGGGGATGATGAGTCGACAGTGCAGACTGAAACAAGTATCCAAGATGAAATCAACTCGACCCTAAACGGAATCGCAATGGCCAACATGGATAAATGGAAATCCGAGGAGATGAAACTGACACCACAGACTTGGTTTGGAGACAGTGCAGCGAGTACACATATGTGCAATGATGACACCAACCTTTACGACTACGATGTTATTCGAGAGGAGATCAAAGTTGGAAGTGGCAAAACTATCGTGGCAACTAAGATTGGCAAGCTCAAGCTGCGAGTGAAGCAAACGAATGGAAAGGTAATCATGATGGTACTAACGAAAGTCAAGTTCGTACCTGAGCTGTGGTGCAATCTTTTCAGTCTTACGGCCGCAATGGACAAGGGCTTCGACCTCGGGAACCAAGGGCGAATCATCACAGTGACGCATGGATCGACAACTATTGGATTTGACAGAATATTCCCAACGAGTTCTGGATTCATCATGGCAGCAGAAATGGAACAGATGACAGCAGAAGGTGCATACGCCGTATTGGAAGCAGGAAGGGAAATCAGCATAGCAAAGTTCCATGAGATGTACGGACACCCAGGAGAAGCAATACTTCGCAATACAGCACATGCATACAACTTGAAACTACAATCGAAATTGGAAAAGTGTGAGAACTGTGCATTGGCAAAGTCGAGACAAGCAAACATCTCGAAGGAGCCAGTTGACAGATCCGAAGTCCCAGGGGAAGAACTAATGATTGATATATCCAGTGTAAAGAAGACAAGCGCGGGTGGAAACAAATTTTGGCTCCAAGTGATGGACAACGCATCCGATTTCATATTTTCAATGTTCCTAAAGAAGAAAAGCGAAACGAGTGCTAAGATGATAGCTTTGGTGAAGGACCTAAATGCGAAAGGATTCAAAGTCAAAAAGATTCGATGTGACAGAGCTGGAGAGAACATGAAGTTCCAAGATGAAGCAAAGAATGAAGGACTCGGTTTGACCTTTGAATTCACAGCGCCCAATACACCACAGCGAAATGGACGAGTCGAAAGGAAGTTTGCAACGGCTTTCGGACGAGTTCGAGCAATGATGAACACTGCTCGGATGACAGAAACGATGTGTGGCAATCTATGGGCAGAAGCGGCAGATACAGCGACAAAATTGGACACAGCACTTGTCTATCAACGTGGTGAACAAAGTTCACATCAAAAATTCTGAGAACGTTTGGTGAAATGGCAGTGATCAAGGTACACACAAAGATCAAGGGTAAACTGAAAGACCGTGGAAGAACAGTTATGTTTGTTGGATACGCAGATAACTCCAGCGGAGACACTTACAAATTCTATGATCCAAAGACAAAGCGAATCAGTTCAAGTCGAGATGTGTCATGGTTGAACAAGAGCTACGGAGATTGGAAGGGAATCAAGAAAACCAACACACTACGATTGACACAGGAGATTCTATTGGAAACGGTACATGACAATGATATTACACAAGCACCAACAACTCACACCAATGACGCAAACACAACAGTACCAGAACCGGGACCGATTCCAACAGCTACAGCACCAGCAGAGACGGCAACAATACCAGCAGTACAATTGGACTCGGGAGCAAATCCACAACGAGTTACACGATTTGGGCCAACGCAACAACCGGCGACTACAGCACCAATTCCCAGATGGCAGCGAGATTTACGAACATGGGACACGGACCGACATGGGACCCAACCAATACTTCGTACTCGGACCCAAACGAGATTGGCAACTGCAAATTCCGAATCAGGAAGGGAGACAGCAACTCGTGTTCAAACAACAGAAGTGCCAACGGAAGAAGAAGAAATCGATTTCACAGGGGATCAAAGTGGACCACTATTCAACAAAAACGATGTTGCAAACATGATGATGAATCCGGATTTACAGCGGCCAGATCTATTGTGGAAAACGAAGAAGCGGAAGACACCAACTACAAAGAACCAAAGAACTTCCAAGAAGCATGGAACCATCCAGACAAATATCAACGGGACAAATGGCGAGAAGCGATTAGAAAGGAATTTCGTGACATGATACGCCGTGGAGTTTGGCGAAAAATGAAACGAAGAGATCTACCATATGGAAGAAGATGCATCAAATGCAAATGGGTATTCAAGATCAAGAGAAATGGAGTGTTCCGATCAAGACTTGTTGCATGCGGATACTCACAAATTCCTGGAGTTGACTTCACAGAACACTTTGCTCCAGTTATCAATGACATCACATGGAGAATACTACTGGTTGCGATGATGATTTGGAAACTTGACGCTTGGTTGATCGACGTGGAAACAGCTTTTCTACATGGAGAATTTGATGAAGGAGAACAGATATTCATGAATCTGCCTGTTGGATATGATCTTGTGGATTTGTCAATTGATATGAGCGAAGATTCACCGCAAACGAAAGTTATTGGGTGATTTTTTTTTGTTTCGGTCTGACCAACCAACCGTATTTCACCATAGTTTTTACCACAAACCCCGACTGCCATTTTCGCGGCAGAAACTTCCAGTCCTCCACCGTAAACGAATTGTATGGGACTAGGGCAGAACATCGGGTGGAAAAGATGGTACTACCGCAATCCCATGTGAAGAAAAGTTCTAAATATTGCGCGCGATTTTTGCGCAAAGCTGGTGAAAAGTCTGGGTTCGGGGGAAACAATCTGGCACAATCGCATATTTCGGTAATTTTACGGGTGAGACTCCCCGAGACTCTACCATATTCCCACAAAACTTACCACAAAGATAAGTCCCACTTCTACTACCGCATTTCCCTATTCCCATGATCATTACCGTCCTTATCACCCTTAGCTTAACGGCTGTTTTCGTATGCAACTAAACCGCACCAGCCGTCATATAGGAGCCTGCCCGCACACGGTGTCATTTGAATCTATTTTAAAATAACGAGCTACTATATAGCACTATCGTTCTATCGTCAGTATATCTTGCAACCATGAACAAAGTATCTATACATTTAATTCTTCATCTTTAGCTAACCAAATGTCATTGTATGAAAATCGACTGCGTATTTGCTTTCCAAAAAGCTTCCATCCATTCATGATTGTGTCGTTGAATGTGCAGTTTGGATGTTTGAATGTGCAGTTTGGATGTGCATTGCGTTTGCCCAGCAGTTTTCATCCATCATGTCTCCACCACGTCTCTCCAATATATAGTTGCGCTTTGCCATACTCGGGCAGAAATTATAGATTCCATCGCGAAATCACCAATTGTCACATCGCAGCGTAAGGAGACCATCGATGACATAGCGCAGTGCCCGACAATTCTTTAGTCCTGAAGAGTCACCGATCCATGACAATCTAGTTGTGATTTAGCATCCATATCTGAATAAATAGTAAAACGACCGACCTAACGTTCAAAAATCTGAAACGTTAGTGGTTGTTTGTATTGTATCCACAGCGCACGAACACAGTCGTCCTTGACTTACCGTAGTGTTGGTGTCATCCCCACCCCCATCAGCGAAATGGATCTGCAATGCTTTTCATTAGATACAATACAGTACACGAGTACAAAATCATTGACAAGAGATAGTAACAACTTACGAATATTGTCCATTGGCAACCTTGATGTTCTTGCAGATCCAAAAATAAGTGAAATTGTGTCATTTGCGGTTGCTATGAAAGCACGTGTCCGGATGCCTTCATAATGACCGACTGACTTGGCATTTTCCAGTACATTTTGTACATGGACCTACCGTGTGCGTTTCGCATGACATTGCAATCGAAAATACTTGTCCAACGCCGACTTCGTTTTTCACTGGTTTCACAGGTAAAACCTCAATAACCATGTGCACACATGGTTTATTACGCCCGGCGGCAGTTAGCGAAGAGACACCGTAAAACACGCTCATGTTTTCGCTGCTGCTGATATGCCACCGACGCCCTGCTTCACTACATAAATAGTCATTCTATCGCCTCACTACGTTTATTCCTTCAAGTAATTGGGGTCCTTCCAGTTGGTTGAAGATGTCAGAAGACGATGGTCCGCTACTGACCAAAGACGACTTCATCATGCGCACTAAAGATATATATTTTTCGTGTAGAAAATGTGGACTCCAGACCAAAGATATTGTTCGTGACGGAAAGAGGAAGTACTTGGCGATATTTAACTGTGACAATGTTAGGTGCACTATGGTCCACAGGTGGATCAAGTGCAGGGTCTGCACTGTAGCTCATGACATTGAGATTCAACAGTTTAGCAAACATGTGCGTCAAAAAAAACACCTAAAGCGAGTTGCTGAGTTCGAGAGCACCAAACCATCAGCCTACGTGCAACAAGAAATTCAGTTTGCAGAGCGATGCCAAATCGCACAAACAACGGATATGGAGACGGATACCGGTCCCAGCCCAACCCAGCATTCCGCGGGAGATAGCAACGACAACGGGATGGAATTTTTCTCTCACAATGATGAGTGGAGTTCAATCGAAATCGATGATGCATCAAATGCGCCGCCGCAGCTCACTTCGGAAGATTGGATGACACAAATATTGTCAAAGTGTCCCAACCCAAAGGGCGACCTGTCAGGTTACTTCTCGACCGAGGAAGAAACGACTCCGATCGATGGTCTCACGAGAACACCCATGAATGCGCAATACTTTCACTGCAATTTGGAGTTTGGATGGGGACCCAGGTTGCTTACTGCTTGGGCAGCGCAGCGGAACACTTCGCTAGACATCCTACAACGCATGGGTGCAACCAATCCCCTATTCTGCATTCTTCTTGCATATCTTACAAACCGCCTCACCAATATTGAGCAGCGTGTTCTTGTTGCGCTAATGGTATACATGTCGGATCCGTTGAATCGTGGACTTCCAATTCCAGAGAACCACGCACAACTGAGAAATTGCTATGGACCTGATGGACGAGAGTCAATTCCAAATATACTCCCGCGACCCATCATTCAAATTCTTGATACAGGGTTTGCCTACGTCTCGATTCGCGACATTCTCCAATTCCATCTAGCCAACGGCCAGACTTTGGATCCTTTGGTCGATGCACCATACTCCCCCCAGTCCAAGAATGTTCAATCACTCCACGGATCTTCTCAGAGAGGAAAGGATCTTGTCGCGTTTTCAAACGAGCAAAGCAATGCCCAGCCGACCGAGTTTATATCTGAAGTTGTGATTTGGTCTGATGCTTTTGATACCAACAATACCAAAAATAATCGAGGCTCCGTACATGTTGTACTTGTATCCGTCGGTACCCCTGGAGATGATTATCATTCTGGTCGCAATACTTACCCGGTCTCCCTTGGTCCGTCCAATGGTGACATGACCACTGCCATGGAAAAGCTCGTTAGGGAATTGACAGAGTTATTCAAGGGCCAGAAAAACAAATTCTTTCATGCCGCATCACAGAAGGAACTGGCGGTTTCCCTGCGTGTGTACTGCTTTCTCCAAGATCGACCAGAACGATGTTCTTGGCTCGGTCTCGCATATGGTAATGGAAGATACGGGGCAAGATTCGGTTGGGCAGGAGACCTGTCACAAAGCTGTGCGTACAAACGTTTGCCTTCCTGTTCTGACTGCAATGCTCTGCGTTTATGCAGTCCAGACGTTAGGCATTTTCAATGTACAAGATGTAGTGATTGGCGCATGGACCTGTTGTCTTATCAAATTCCAAAGGACTACCCAACAATCTTCATGAACAATAACTCTGATGGTACGGACCCAACAGCGCAAAATTTGCCCGACAGTGCTCCAACTGATGCGAGAGTTAATGGTAACTGTTTACGGTTCCGCCCAATAACCTTTCCAATTTTGAAGTCGGCCTCTGATTCTACATTTGACATGGTTCGACTCCGCTACTGGACAAAGAAACAGGGTATTGCGTACCTTGAAACATTTGGACTTTCTCAGGTCTACATTGCCGACCTTTGCAATGCGGCGGACAATCCAGATGAACAGCAACCTCCACATCCAACTACATGGAACGTACCAGGTGTTGACATCCGACATCATATTGACGCACTGATGCATTTGTGCTTTCTAGGAATCACAAAAGCAATCTCCACAGATCTGATTAGTGGTTGGTTAAAGGCTCAGCGGAAATCAAGTTCTTTCTACAATCTTAGCCATCCAGTCCTTGACCAAATCAAACGCCAAAGTCTATCTTGGTGCAAGGTCGAAACAAAATTTGGCGGATACGTATCTGAGAATTGGATTGCGTACTGTCTTGTCTACAAATATGTTCACCAGCTGCTTTCAAAACTTACTGAAGATGACGATGTGTATATTGATCCGCCCGGAGTGCCACTATCGCAATACAATTTGAAACAGAGGAGGGCGTGGCTTTGCGCAAGGAAGGTAGAAGATATTTCTAACAAGTCCCTCAAGAAGGCTGTTGACAAAAAATTCCTCGAATTTATTTCGCTGCCTCCAGAGGAATGCCCGCCAATCATCCAACCAGTTGCGTCCAAGGCCACACTTGAACAAGCTAGCCACATGATTATTTGTTGGCAGGTATGCATGTCCCGAATCATGTCTCTGGATCAGAATCCCTCCGGTGCACAACTTTTGGACATTGAAAGGCACATTAAAGTCTTTCTGACTTCAGTTGATGTATTCGATCTCACGAGACGAGATCA